CACCTCCGACCCGGCCTCCACCATCACCATAGGGATCGCCGCCATCATGGCCGCCGCTGTGCTCACCACCGGTTGGGAAGACGCAACCCCCATTAAGGAAGGTCGCGCCGCCACCAGCCTGCATCCCCTTCGCTCGTCGCAACCCACCACAGGCTGGGTCTCCACTCTTCTTGCATGGGAGGTGGGGAGATCCCTAGTCCTGCTGGCTCCTGGCCGCTACAAAAAAGGGACAAGCATAGGTAAGTCACACCCAAAAACTCAACTATGAGGGCAAAGGGAAGCATGAATACATACCCAGATGAAAGCGGCATAACCTTGAAACCCCGACCGGCTGACAATGACCCGACCGGATGAGGATCGCTCGGGGGTCGTAGTTTGTGCCCCCTCGGACCGACCGAGGGTAGGGACGACATGGTTGGTCCCTATTTGGCTCACAAATGGTCATGGCCACCAGCTCGTGGCGAGACCACTGGAGCAATCGGTGCGGCATCTCCCCATTGAGGGCCATGCACGAGCGGCAACCTCGAGGGAACGGGTGGACAATCGTGCTCCCCCGATCGACCAACGTGTTCTGTCACACTCAGAGCAGGGGGTTGAGAAGCCGATGGTGCCTCCGAAGGGTGCGGCGCCCGCACCCGCTTCGCCTCCACGTTGCTCCGGCTCTCACCACCCCAGACCCACCAGTTGATCTCCTCCTTATCAAACCTCCTCCAAACATTCTTGGCATTCTTCTTCTTGGCAAGCATGGCCTCCCTCTGGGCAGCTTGCCGAACCATGCCTTTCGGCCCTCTTGGAAGATGTGTCTGGGATTTATAGCCCGCGAGTCGCTTCGAAATGGGCAACTCGAAATCCATCAAAACATCAAAATAAGAAGGAAAAGGTCATGGGAAAAAAGCATACCAAATTCGATAGCTTCGCGTCATGAAGGGGCCCGAGCGTCCCTTCGAGGGAGTCTTCATCCCTCAACTGCAGTGCCCGACCAAGATAAACCCGAACTTCATCTTTTGATAACTCCTCCGGTGATGCGCGGTCAGGATCCGTCGGGCCGGAGTATTCCCACATCGGCCGCGTCCTTTCCCCCAGTGGGGCAACCCAACGACGGAAGAAGGTGTGGAAGACCCGCAACCTGTCGAGGCCGTTTTGCACGAGCTTCTGAAGCTCCAGCTCGATGATCGCTAGCTTTTTCTATTGACGGGAAGGACCCCACGTCCAACTTTCCCTCTTCTCTGGCCTCCCCCCGATAAACGTCGGGAATGGTGCCTCCACCGGGTTCCTGATATAGAACCACTCGCCATGCAACCCCTGATTGGAGTCACTGGGGGAGTACGCGGGGTAGGGGACCGACGGCTTTAGCCTGTTCTGCAGGGCAAACCCCCCAACCGGTGCGGTTCTGGGCGGTTTCCCCTCGGACAGGGCTCGCCCGATGAAGACTCGCCGGAATAGATCCACATGCGGCTCCATTCCGTGGAAGGCCTCATAGACGGTGATGAAGCCGGCGATGTGCAGCACCCCAGTTGGGTTGAGGTGCTACAACTCCAAGCCCCACTCGTTGAGGAGATCGCGCAGAAACTAATGTGCGGGGTACCTGAGCCCATGCTTGTGGAAGGCGAGGAAGGAGATGACCTCATAAGTGCAAGGTCATAGAACAACCTCCCCCAGCATGGGAGCCCTCTAGTGCGCCACCTCCTTTGATGGAAGTAGCCCCTTCACGGCGAAGTCGGCCAGCACGGCCTCATCCACGTTGGAAGGCCTCCAGTTCGACATCGCACCTTGGATTTATGAACGAATCTGTGAGTTTTTCCTCTCCCTCGCTCTGCTCTCCTCTCTCCTAGAAACCGCCATGGCACACGAACAAGCTTGGAGAAAAGGAGGAAGAAGAAACGACAGCGGTTGAAGAAAGGCGAAAGAACGGGAGGAAACCCCCCCCCTTCCCCCTATTTAATGCAGAATGGCATGCGGCGGGACGTGACCTTTGCTGATGGGACATGGCCTGCCCGATGGAATGTCACCTGGCTAACAAGACGTGGCCTAGGTAGGCCCCACCACTATCACAACCTGGGCACGGGAAATGAGGCGCAACCGCACACAAATGACCCTCCGCCTTCCCAGGCAGGGTTTGGAGGGGGCCACCGCTACCGCAACCTAGGCATGGGAAATGAAGGCACAACCGCACACAAATGACCCTCCGCCTTCCCAGGTAGGGTTTGGAGGGGCCCACCAATGGAATCTCCATCAAGGAGAAGCCAACGGGTCACTCAGGTCGATCGGACAGCTCGAGCGACTGCCAGGAGACATGTAAGGAGCAGTGGGATGCCCCATGCAGATTATGCTGACTCCGTCATGAACAACGGACCCGGATTCCACTCGAACATATCCAATAGAAGCTCCCCAAACCCGTCACTCCAGCCATCAAGGTAACTTTACCAACCCTCGTTTTACTTTTCCAATGCATGAGCCTACATTCATCCATTCTCATGCATGCATTCGTACATTCATCCATTATCATGCATGCATTCATACATTCAGTCATATATTCATTCATCCCATACAGCCAAGCATTGCATAAGCAATTGATGCATCACAACGCTTCACGTCGATTCACGAAGCGAGAGTCGTCTCATTCGATATGAGCGGCGACCGACCGGGGTTCAAAGGCCAGCCCACGAAGGGCTCGAGGCCACCTCACGTCAAATGGAGCTAGGGGAGAAAACACAGATGAGCCCCAGTGGCGCTTGCCTGACCCGCTCAAGAGCGGGCAGGGTCATCTCAACCTTCTCGTTCGATCCTGACCTCGAGCCGTTCCCACAGAATCTCCATCGAGGGGAGGCCATCGGGCCACCTGAGTCACTCTTTGGAACGACTTGAGCATCTGCCGGGAGGCGGGTTAAGGAGAAGTGGAGTGCCACATGAGGGCTATGCCGACCCCGTCATGAATGACGGATCCGAATTCCACTCGAACATACCCGTTAGCAAGATCATCGAAGCTCGCCACTCGAGCCATCAAGGCAAGTGGCGTCAGCTCAACCCCTCTGGTTGTGGAAACCACGGATGGGGTGATGCAGGAAATCATGCGACCGACCCCTACCGACCCCTAGTGGCTTAGGGGCTCGAGCTGTTAGGTCCCGACTCAAGAACCCAACCGACCGCACAGGTTACGGTCGGAACAGACACGGGCGAACACCCCGATCGAAAGAGATACAAGAGTCCACAACCCCAAAAAAGAGTACCAAGGTGCTTAGTCTCCGACCGACTCCTCAGTCGGCCGCAGGCTCACGGGCTAGACCCACCGAGGTGCGCTCACGCTTACCCGGTGGAAAATGGATTACCAGCAAGTCTCCTCCTTAGGGGCTGGGCGCCAATGTCCCTCCGGCATGCTTCTGCGGCCTTCGCCAGTCCTCCCCAGGGAGGCTGGGCGCCCGTCTCCACTCTGCGCGCCTCCGTGGCCTTTGCTAGTCCTCCACATGGAGGCTAGGAGTCTAAATCCTACTTGGTTACCCTATGCAGTACAACAAAACGAGGGGGAAAACACCAAAGTTCAAATAAACAGCCCGCCTCCACAACACAATGGGTACATGAATTACAAAGCGAATACAAGCTTTCATTAAGCTAAAAACACAAGCCCCTGGCTTTTACAATATCATGTCAAACGTGTGTGAACAACCCCTTCACGGCTTCACAGAAGTCCCAAAGGGGCTTAGGGGCTCCTGTCGGGTTCATAAACCTGGGGTCCCCAATGGACCCGCTTCCCTGCAAAACCCAGCCCAGCAGGCGGTGCAACGACAACATGCTCCTGGGCTGGCCTAGATACATAATGACAGGCCAAGACAACGATCTGGTTCCCGACCAAAAGGCCTGGCTGAGGTGGGACCGCAGTCCGACTCCGACCCCCTTTCTCCGACCGAGGATACACCGGACCTCTATTCGCTGCTCTTTCCTGACCGACACGGTCAGGGCCGACTGGGAACGACTGACCGGGGAGGCCCGCTCAGTGTGGGTCCTAGGGAGCAGGCGGAGCAGATAAGGAAAGGTGCTCAAGTCAACCGCAATACCGAGGGCCGTACCCTGCCATGCCCTACGCACCTGCAGGACGGTGCCATCGGGGCATGTCAGGCGAATATGGTAGAGCCTGCCAGATGCGTCAGAGCATAAACAGTATTGTGGGGGCCGTCGTTTATGGTACCAGGCGAATATAGTAGAGCCTGCCAGACGCGTCTGGACATAAACAGTATTATGGGTGCCGACGGCCATCCCATACCCGATGACATGGGCAACAAGACTAGGTAGCGCCCGTATGAACTCTCTATTTCTCTCTAACTTGTAAGGACATCTCCTTCAACTATAAAAGGGGATGCGCTCTCTCCTACCAAAAGGACAGGAGCTTCGAACCCCCCGAAGCCTCAAAAACTCGAAGACTCGAGGACAACAACACAACGGCTCTAGAGCTCGATAGCTACACAGTCTACACGCTCTCAACAGCTGATAAGCTCGGACACACAGAGCATACGCTCCGATACTTAGCGCACGTTTGAGCATCTGTCACTCTGTGCCACTCGGTTCAGAGTCCGACCGGGCCTCTAACACTCCCTTCTCATTCCTTACTCGTTTGTAATCCCACAGCAAACTTCGAGCACCTGGGCTCAAGAATAAAGTCATCGACCGACCTCAACTGGACGTAGGGCCTCTTGCCTGAACCAGTATAAATTCTGTGTTATTAAGTGCTAGGCCACATCCGATCACAACGCACGGCAAAACTATAAATATTTACTTGTTGGCCATATTTCGCACCGACACATACCAACAGATTTCAACATTCACAAAAAAAAATGTTTGCTAAACACCTTGGCCCTAGGTTTAACTCTTGTGGTACACTCAGTTTGGTTGTACAGTTCACACAAAATTAATAACTGGAAAAAATAGTGATTGGCAGTATTAAGTTCTATAATAATAGTGCTATTGATGAGATTGATTCATATCCTCACTGCTTCAAGGCAGAGACTGGAATGGGGAAACTAGTCGCAGCAATCGGCAGGTTCTTATGCTTTGTACAGGTGGACCAGTCAAAAGTATGCATCAAAGAGAGATTTGGGAAGTTTGAGGATGTACTTGATCCTGGATGCCATTTTGTGCCATGGATCATTGGAAAACACGTCAAAGGTCAGCTCACGCTGAGGCTTTAGGCAGCTTGATGTCCGTTGTGAGACAAAGACAAAGGTTTTGATATCTCACTTCGGATCGACTTGTCACATGCAAGATTCAGCTTCATGTTCATTGTAGATAGTACTCCCTTCGTTCCAAATTATAAAACGTTTTAGCTTTTCTAGATTCATAATTTTTGCTATGTACTTAGATGCATATTATGTTTAAATACATGGTAAAAGCAACGTATCTAGAAAAGTCAAAACATCTTATAATTTGGAAGTGATGGAGTATTTGTTAAGATAAAGATTAGTTTTTACCGCCTGTTTGCAGGAAGGATTCTAAAGATGATTTGCTCAACTTATCTAATAATGTCTTTGGACTCTTATATTTATTTATGCATCCTGTTGCAGGATAATGTTTTCGTTACTGTTGTTGCATCCATTCAATACCGGGCAATGGAAGACAAAGCAAGTGATGCATATTAGTATATTACAAGCTGAGCAACCCAAAAGCTCAAATTCAATCATACGTATTTGATGGTAAAACCTACTTATACTAAATTCTTGACGTTTCGAATGGTTGTCCAAACTGCTCCATGCGTGCAGGTACAAATAAAAGTAGTAAATCAACAGAATTGGACCATTTACCCACATGAAATACTCCCATTGGTCAGAAAGAAGTGATATGTTTAGGGTTGCATGCAGTAAACCATCGAAACTTTGATTACAAGTAACTTATTATGAGTTGAGTTTGGAAACTAAAATGGTACTATTAGATTCCTCTTGAAAATACTTTCAAAAAGGTACATCTTTACTATGATTTATAAAATACACACAGCAAAAATTACTAGTCTAAATTATGTTTTGAAAATTATGTCGATGTCCACAACAAAGTGACCCATTTCAACCACACTTCACATTTTCCAAAGTATTTGTGGGATGGAAAAGGTCTAATAAACAAACTTTTTTTATTCCACCAATGATTTTTTTGAACCAGATTCCTTAACACAGGGCACCTATTCTGGAACAGGGAACAGGGGAGTAGTAGTCATTTCTGGAGGTTCTAAGAGTCCAGATAATAATTAGTTTTGATACTGCTATAGAGGAGGTTTTTGATAAGGACGTATACAAAATATGTACCTAAATATCCACAGATGTTTCATAATATAATAACATGGCATATCCTATTGATTTTTACATGCTCTCTTTCTTCACAGTTATAAGGGCAACTGTTCCCAAACTAGAACTGGATGATACTTGCAAGCAAAAGAATGAAATAGCAAAGGCTGTGGAGGAGGAACTTGAAAAGGCAATGTTTACTTATGGTTATGAGATTGTGCAAACACTGGTGAATCTACATTGGTGAATCAGATATCGAACCAGATGAAAAGGTTAAAAGAGCTATGAATGAAATCAATGCTGGTAAATGTCCATCTACATTGGTGAATCTTGCTTTTGGGCTATGATGTATGAACTCATATACAATTTGCATATAACTCTAGAAAATTTCCATTCACACGTAGTATTCTCTCAGTCTCTTTTTATAAGGCATGCATCCGTTCCAATATTCAAACCTTGCCATATTCGACCAACTATTGCTCTAACAATATTTAAACACTATGATAAATAAACAATGGCATCATTTGATTGGCATTTGAAAGTACATTCAAATGATCATAATTTTGTTGCAATAGACATTATTATACTCAAAGAGAAATCAGTGGTCGATGAGAAAATTTGGAGATTGTGCCAAATCAACACGCACTTATATTTTGAAACAAAGGAAGTATAATTTAACATGAAGAGCTGCTAGAACTTGAGGACTTACAGCAATTGATCATCCATCTAAAATCTTCAGATTGGTTTGTAATGAGCGATGAATTAATCACACATAGATATCCTGATAATATACTGCAGTTTGATGTTTACCACTAACCATTTATTTATTTTTGCTTTTGTTCAGCTGCAAGACTAACTCCGCCTATGTTGTCTCAACATAGCAGGTCCCAAGCCCTGGTAAAGGAGGAGGGTTGTGATAGGCGTGGCGAGCCAACGTTAAATCTAGCCATTCTAATGGAGATAAAACCCAAAAGTACGTCGGGCTCATTAAGGACATGTACAATAATGTTGTGACTAATGTTCGAACAAGTGATGGAGACACGGATGACTTTCCGATTAGGATAGGACTACATCAAGGATCAGCTTTGAGCCCTTATCCGTTTGCCTTAGTGATGGATGAGGTCACAAGGGACATACAAGGGGACATCCCGTGTATGCTTTTCGCGGACGATGTAGTGCTAGTTGATAAAAACAGGATAGGAGTGAATAAAAAACTGGAGTTATGACGGGAGACTTTAGAGTCCAAAAGTTTTAGACTCAGTAGAACTAAAACTGCGTATATGAGATGTGACTTCGGCACTACTACTCGGGAGGAGAAAGATATTAGTTTGGAAGGTCAAATAGTGTATAGGAAGGATACCTTTCGATATTTAAGATCAATGCTACAGAGAGACGGGGATATTGATGAAGATGTTAGCCATAGAATCAAAGCAGGGTGGATGAAGTAGTGCCAAGCATCTGGTGTCCTATGTGACAAAAGGGTACCACAGAAGCTAAAAGGCAAGTTTTATGGGACGGCGATTAGACCTGCTATGTTGTATGGTGCAGAATGTTGGCCTACGAAAAGACGACATGTTCAACAGATAAGTGTCGCGGAAATACGTATATTGCGTTGGATTTGCGGTCATACAAGAAGGGATCGAGTTCGGAATGATGATATACGTGATAGATTAGGGGTAACACCAATTGAAGAAAAGCTTGTCCAACACCGGTTGAGATGGTTTAGACATGTCCAACGGAGACCTCGAGAGGCACCGGTGCGTAGTGGAATCCTAAGCCAGGATAGTAATGTGAAGAGAGGCAGAGGAAGACCGAAGTTGACTTGGGTAGAGGCAATAAAATGAGACTTGAAAGGATGGAATATACCCAAAGACTTAGCCTTAGATAGGAGTGCTTGGAAAAATGTTATTCACGTGCCTGAGCCTTGATTGCTTCTGCTGGGTTTCAACTCTAGCCTACCCCAACTTATTTGGGACTTAAAGGTTTTGTTGTTGTTGTTGTGTTCAGCTGCAAGACTGCGCGTTGCGGCAAATGAGAAGGCAGAGGCAGAGAAAATCATTCAGATTAAAAGGGCTGAGGGTGAGGCTGAAGCCAAGTATCTTGAGCCTGGACTCCTAGTGTACAAGTTGTAGTATCTGTACTCTACACAACACACTCACACCACCACACACACGCACACCCCTAGAAGCTACAACCTATACACCTCAAACATCCTTCTGGAGATCACCGAAGCCACACGAGCCTCGTAGACGACGGACACGTCATGGTCCTATTGTAGCATCACGCGAGTATCCAGGACCTGCAGATATTGGGGAAAAACCCCAGTGCGAAACGTGAGTCGAGCAGAGCTCGAACCCACGACCGGCCGCTCCACCACCTGGAGCATTTACCGCTCGAGCAACGGCTCGATCCCCTGAAGCCAAGTATCTGTCTGGTCTAGGCATTACGGCAGCGACAAGCCATAGTTGATGGGCTAACCGGCTAAGAGATAGTGTACTTGGCTTTAGTGGCAACGTGCCTGGGACTTCAGCTAAGGATGTCATGGATTTAGTTCTGACCATCGAGTTTTTTGACACCATGAAAGAAATTGGTGCAGCAAAGAAATCTTCTGCAGTTTTCCTCCCACATGGTCCTGGTGCTGTTGCAGACATTGCTAGTCAGATCCGTGATGGATTTCTTCAGGCATCTACACAGCAGACAAAGTGATAGATTGCAGAGAAACCCAAATTCAACCAAAACATGAGTTTGGATGGCAAAAACATCCCTACTGCCTGCTGGTTTGTCATAACTGAGTGGTCAATTAAATGCTTGAGAGTATAGTGTGATCTTGTTAAATGGTATCGAACTTGTAAATGATTTGTATTTAATAAAGATTAGGTAGGCTGTGTACAGGCGCCACAGATACAAAATGGAGCATAAGCACGTTACAAGAATCTAGTTAAGTATTGTGGTGTGAGTATACTTGGCCTGTGAGAGCTCTCAAAATAATGTTATACTCCCTCTATTCTAAATTATAAGACTGTCGGGGACATAATACTGGGATACCCAATGAGGTGGAGCTAATAAACATCAAACGTTGATGCTTCCAAACAGGCAAGGACGCAACTACACTTCTTGCCCATAGAACCGAAGGTTGGCTGCGCCTCGCCCGGCTCCGAAGGGTTGGCTCTGCCTCGCCCGACCCCCGAGGGCTGGACTCCGCCTCGTCCGACTTCTAGGGGAAGACTCCGCCTCGCCCGATGACCGGGGACTGGCTCCGCCTCACTCGATGTCTGAGGGCTGGCTCCGCCTCGCCCGACGACTGAGGGCTGGCCCCGCCACGCCCGACGTCCCGGGGCTGGCTCCGCCTCGCCCGACGACTACACCATGCTCCTTCATAATGATGAGCACAGGGTAAGACAGGACATTCGAGTCAACCGCAGTACCAAGGACCATACCCTGCACGCCTACAGGAAGGTACCGTCAGGATACGACGGAACGGGCGCTTTCAGCCCTTCCAGGCATGACAGAGCCCGAACAGTGTTGTAGGCGCCGACTTTTGTCTTACAATATTGTGGGCGCCGCCATCAGCCCTCGGATGTGGATCCTGACATAAGCATATGACAACCACTACAATCCAGGAGAGAACTCGCATCATCTACAGTAACGGATGTATAGTCACTTCCCCGTTTGCTCCCCGTAGGGTCACGGCTCGACACCCTGGCACGCCACATCGTCTGCTGGAGTAGGATGGGACGTGACCACTTGCTGAAACAAAGCCAGAGCACGGCCCTATCAGGATCAACGAACGTACTTTCCCTGGCATGGTCTACCATGTTAGCAGGGCAGGCTCAAGGGAAAAGGAAGACCCGACACCTTCGAAGGACCTTCTCTACCTATGTTTTTTTTCTCTTTCTCCCATCTGTAACCCCTACCCCCCTTGGTCTATAAAAGGGAGGGCAGGACGCCCCACTAAGGGGAGGGACCCGATTACACACATAACACACAAGCCAAGCAGCAACCGAGCTCTTGGCATCCTTTCGACCTTTCCATCAGAGACTTGGGACCTGTCCCTCTCTCGACCGTTTGTACCCCCTACTATGAACATTTTTCAGTGCTAATAACACGAGCAACATCAAAATTAGATGTAGGGACATTCTGCCCGAATCAGTATAAACCTTGTGTCCTTTAGTACACCATCCGGGCCTAACGTACAACAAATATAAATTTACTAGTTGGTGTTTATTCGAAATACCGACAGTTGGTGCGTCAGGTAGAGGACCTTTGCGCATTCCGACGATAAACATCAGGCCACAGATGGCTAGCCACGGCATCAGCTGGGTCCCGGGCGCACACGTGCGCTTCGAGCGCCTAGACTTCATCATTATGGTGGGAGGAGAGTTGGCATTGGCTCACGCCGCCATCGAATCTCTCCCCTCCATCGGCCTCAACCATGAGAGGTTTGAGCATTGGCTCGGTGTCTCCCTTGGACCCCAGTAGTCCAGGGAGGACCAGCGCCGTCTCACACTTTTCGACGCCAATGACATGGCATGGTATTCCGGAGGAGGATCCCTCTCTCTGGAATGCCACATATGGAGCACCCCGACAACGTTTCCGTTCAGTCTCCGCAACGCTGCGGAGACCGTTAGCCACCTTGTGGCATGACGCATGGTTCAGCCGCCCGCGAACAATGAGTTCATGGGGGTGATCGAACACGTCATGGAGTCTCTCCACAACCTCCTCACAGAGGAGCCGGGGTCATCCTCTGGCTCTGACTCCAGCAGGGGGAGCCATCACCCCTCCCGGGAATGCTTCATGACAGGTACCTCCGAGGGGCACGTCGAAAGCATCTCCGTGGAGGAGGCTACCCCGGCGGGCAACCTCGCCGACGAAACCGAAGGGGAGACAGCGGCTCCACCTCGCATGGGGGTGGAGCAGCTGAAAGCCCAAAAGCAAGAGATCAAGGAAGCCGAAATCCAGCTTGTGCAGGAATGCGCAGAGCTCGATCGGGAGATCGAGCGCCACGGAGACGGTGGGCGCGCGCGCGCCATGGCCCGTGATGTTAACCGAAGGATCATCATTGACGATGAAGCCCTTCCTCGCTTCGCCCAGGCGAGCTAGAACATCGTCGCCGCGATGGCCTTGCTCCACGGCCTTCCAGAGGCCGCAACACCCGAGGATCGTCAGGCGCACCACGAGATTCGGACGCTGCTCGAGAGTACGGCAGAGCAGTAAGCAGAGAGCTTGTTGTCTCGGCGAAGCGAGCTCAACACCAGCCAGCGCATGACCTCGACGCGCCCTGCCAGGGACGCGTCAGTCCACCAGGCATCGTAGGGCGGCAGGCAGCGCGCCGCGGTCCTGGTGCATCAGCGTCTCGGCCGCAACCACGACGCACGAAGCACCCTCGATGCCCGCAGATGCACCTACGGTGACCCAAGAGAAGGAGCCTACCATGGCTATCATCCTTGTCACGGCGGACGCTACGACAGCGGCGATGACCGGAGCCCGAGCCCTGGCCTACCAGGCCCTCAGGCCTTCGGTCGGCACATCCTCAACGCTGCTTTCCTGCCAAGGTACCGACCACCTATCAATATCCCGAAATACTCTGAGGAGACAAACTGAACTTTGGCTCGAAGACTATCGGCTTGCCTACTAAGCCGGTGGTGCGGATAATGATGACTTTATTATCTGCAACCTTCCACTATTCTTAGCCAATTCGGCACGAGCGTGGTTGGAACACCTGTCGTCCAACGCGATCCAGAGTTAGGCGGATCTGAAAGAAATCTTTGTGGGGAACTTCCAGGGCACATACAAGTGCCCTAGGAACCCATGGGACCTCAAGAATTGCCATCAGAAGGCCAGCGAGACCCTCCGTTGGTACATCCAGCGCTTCTCCCGATAGTGCAACGAGCTCCCTAACGTCGCCGACACCGACGTTATAGGAGCCTTCTTGTCCGGGACTACCTGCGAGTCCATGGTTCATAAGCTAGGACGCAAGGGCCCGTGAACCACCAAGGAACTCCTGGACATCGCCACCATCCATGCCTCAGGATAAGAGGCGGTCGGAGCGATCTTCGGTCGTCTCGAGGGCAAGGCAAGGCGGGACGAGGGTGCCGGTGAAGGCACCTCCAATCGTTCCGCCAAAAGGAAGAACAAGAAGCAACGACGCGAGGACTTGCTCGTGGCCACTGTTAACCGCAAGGGTGGTCGGAAGCCCGTGGAGGGCACTCCGAACCTCTTCAAAAATTGCTCGAGGGGCCGTGCCCGAACCACGCCTTCCTGGTTAAGCATCTGCTCAAGGACTATAGCCTCATGTGGCGGTTCTTGTCCGGAGGCTCCAACAAGGGGGAGCATGGAAAGGACCCTACCCCCACCACGGATGACACCAAGGAGAAGGACGATGGCTTTCCGACGCTGGACGGCTGCCTTATGATCTTCGGAGGATCAGCGTCCTATGACTCCAAACGTCGTTAGAAGGTCGCGTGCCGTGAGGTCTACACGACCGAACCGGCGACACCTCCCTTCCTCCGGTGGTCAGAGTCCGCCATTACCTTCGATCGGACCGACCATCTGGATAGCGTCCCACACCTAGGGATATATCCGCTTGTGGTCCACCCGATCGTCGGCCCAAAGTGACTCACCAAAGTACTGATGGATGGGGCAGCGGCCTCAACATCATGTACGCCAAGACGCTTGATGAGATGGGCGTCAATCGGACCCGCCTCCGCCCAACCCGAGCACATTTCCATGGCATTGTGCCCGGGAAGCAGGCCATGCCACTTGGGTAGATCGATCTGCCCGTTACCTTTGGGGATCAGTTCAATTATAGGACTGAAACCCTCACCTTCGAGGTGGTTGGGTTCCCTGGAGCCTTCCACGCCATCCTAGGACATCCATGCTATGCGAAGTTCATGGCCGTCCCCAACTATACATACCTCAAGCTGAAGATGTCGGGCCCCCACGGGGTCATCACCGTCGGCACCTCCTTCCAGCGCGCCTATGAATGTGAGGTCGAGTGCTACGGCCACGCCGCAGCAATCGTCGCCTCCGGGGAGCTTGCCACCCTCAAGGAGGAGGTCACCGAAGAAGCGCCCGACGCCAAGAAGTCGACCAGGTCGTTCAAGTCGGCAGAGGGCTCTAAAGAATTCCTCGTAGACCCCAGGAGCACCGAGGGCAAAATGGTATGCATTGGTACCGCGCTTTCCTCCGAATAGGAAAGCACGCTCGTCTACTTCCTTCGTGACAACAAAGACATCTTTGCGTGGAAACCCTCGGATATGCCAGGCATTTCGAGGGAGGTCACCGAGCATACCTTGAAGATCCACCCAGGCTCCAAGCCGGTGAAGCAACGTCTATGTCGCTTCGATGAGGAGAAAAGCAGGGCCATCGGTGAACAGATAGCAAAACTATCGGTTGCCGGATTCATCAAGGAAGTACACCACCTAGAGTGGTTAGCCAATCCTGTTCTTGTACGAAAGAAGAGTGGAAAATGGAGGATGTGTGTAGACTATACGGGTCTCAACAAGGCGTGCCCAAAGGATCCGTTTCCTTTGCCACGCATAGACCAAATAGTCGACTCTACCTCAGGGTGCGAAACCCTCTGCTTCCTTGATGCGTACTCTGGGTACCACCAAATCGCAATGAAAGAGTCCGACCAGCTCGCGACATCTTTCATCACCCCCTTCGGATCGTTTTGCTACGTTTCAATGTCGTTCGGTCTGAAGAAC